GTACCTTTTCATAGCTGTACTGCTCCTGAAGCAGTGTGGGAAGGCGCTCAAGAAAGACGGCCATGCAGGGGGCACGATTCAATCCCAGAATGCCCTGACTGCGTAGAACGGAACGGCAGGAGGCCAGAACGTGATTCTGAGAGATCCAGTCCGGGGTACAGCGAATTAGCAAAACATCCTGAGATAGGAGAAACAGAATTAAACATTACTTACATATTTTTAAATTAAACATGAACCGAATTAAACACTTTTTCAGAAAGTGTTCGGTACCTTTGATCTTCCAGAACAAGCGGTCACCCCTATGTGTGGGATCCAGGTGGTACAAACCACAGAGCCCATTCCTGTAACCACAGTCTGCAGGACCGAACCATCCTAGAACACAGGGGAGTTACAATCAAAAACAGGAGCTTTGTAAAGCTAATAAAAGAAATACCTATAAGAAACGTTTGACTCACCCTGAGAGACCAGATGTTGAGCACCCCTCCGATTCCTCCAGACACGAGTGCAAGTCCACTGGGACAAAATGACAGGGTCTTTACCGCGGTAATGTGTCCACTCAGGCGGAACACACATTTAGCATTGCCTCGCTAAACCACAAAAAACACACACACACTCAGCTTCCTTAAACTGTCCTAACAAACTCCAAAAAATACATTTAGTGACGAATAATCTAACAGTAAGAAAGTGAATTAAAAGGCGAGTTTAAACAGGCAATAAATAAGAAGGCTAAATTATCTCCCCAAAAAACAAAACAAAAATAAATCATTCTGACCTTGATGGCACTGCTCTTGTCTTGGCTGGTAGACGGGGTGAGGAAATTGGGCACCGAGACATTAGCGCCACCTTGAGGAAGATTCCACACATACAGGAGGCCATTTTGACATCCACTGAGGAAATAAAGGAAAATCTTAACATTTAGATGATGGATTAGACACCTGTGCATCCTTGAGTACCAATATAACCGATAAATGCCTACATATCCTAAAAATACTTCATGAAGTACTCATTTAAAGCTCTCCTCTGAGATATCTTGTACCCAATCTTCACGTTAATGGTGTGAAAAATAATAATAGTGCCATTTTATACACTTTTGTAACATTTTAAGACCACTTGATTTGATTCTTACTTATAATGTTAATGTTTCTCCCACCAAAGTCGCCATTTAATTTTACACTTTTTCGTCTATTTTCCACCCTTTCTTTGACCTTTAGGTTTTTACTTCTGTTCTAAAAGTTCTTTTACTATCTATTATCTAAATGAATGTCACAGCTCTTATTATGAACAATTTACCTGTGTATTTGTTATTTTTAATACATTTTTAAATTGTATTGTTGAATTAAAATGTCACGCTGTTTTTTTTTATTTTTTATAATTTGTTACACTCTGATTTGTCATAATATCGAAGAAAAATCTGTTGCTACCTGGGTTATTATAGCTGACAAAAAAAATAAAAATGTTACTTTAATGAAATATAATATAAAAAAACTTCCATTGATGAAATATAATATAAAAAACTTCCATTGCAACATTTCTCATTTAGTTTAACTTGATGTCCTAAAATAAATGAAACTAAAACTGAAATAAAAATTCATTAAAACTATACAGACATATTTAAAAACAACAAAAACACACAACAAAATTACTAAAACTTTAACTAAAATTAATATGAAAGTAGAAAATATTTTTTAAAAATTCCAAAATATTAACAAAAACTGTACTAGCGTCTCAGTGATACTATAAAATAACACTGGTTTCTATTTCCATTGCATTGCCATTTTAAGAATTCTACATGTAAATGGCTTTTTTGGGAGTGAAATGAGTAGTAACACCCCCAACAATTTGCTAAATACTAAAGTAGGTGGGCATCTGGTTCTGAAAATCGCTGTGATGATTATTAAGCATATGGCACACTTACACTGCCATCATAAGACGAGGCTCCGGTCCTCTCCCGGGCAGAGGGCACCAATCGGCCGCGTTGACTGTGCCCGTGTGGAACAGAGAGTGGAGGGTGAGCCACGCACCGCTGGCACGACCCCAGATCTTCACCACCTCAGAGCGACCCACAGACAGCAGCAGATGACCGGTAGGGTCCCACCTGAGCGCACTCACACTCTCCTGTGAACATAAAAGCATCAAAACATATGGGTTTATTTGTGTCAAAGTATGTGTTCAGTTTCAATCTGTCTGAAATGTGTGAAGAAACCCAATTCATTTCATTCATTCAGTTCATTTGGTTTGTTCAGGTCATCATTCAAAAGTTTCCCAAAAGTCTCCATGTTGCATTTTATCGAATGAAAACATGTATTTTTGTAATGAAATGCACTACAGTTTAAAGGTTTATGGGTCGCCAGATTTTATGTTTTTGAAGGAATTCTCTTATTCTCAGCAAGACAAAAGTACAGTAGAAACAGCAATATTGTGAAATACTACTGCGATTTAAAATAACTTTTTTTCTATTTGAATATATTTTAAAATGTAATTTATTCCTGTGATGCAAAGCTGAATTTTCAGCATCATTACTCCAGTGTCACATGATCCTTCAGAAATCATTCTAATATGCTGAATTGGAGCTAAAGAAACATATTATTAATGATTATTATTTATTATTATTATTATTACACAACTGTTGAAAAGAGCTGAGCTGCTTAATATTTTTGCAAATAATTATTTGTGTAACAATACATTTATTTGAAACGCAAATCTTTTGTAACATTATAAATGTCTTTACTATCACTTTTGATCAATTGAATGCACCTTTGCTGAATAAATGCATTCATTTTGTTAAAAATATATTAAAAAGTATATACATATATACGAGTCAAAGACGAAAAAGGGTTGAAGCATAAAAACAATACTGCTTGAAATTGTTGTTGTTTTTCTAAAAAAAAAGAAAGAAAAGTAATTCATGTAATTGTATTTTTGTTTTTGTTTTTCTGAGCAAAAAATAAATATCATACATTTTCCCCTGATTTACAGAAGACACCAACTAAAATGTCATTCAGTGTAACAATCTTGTTAGGCATATTTACAACAAAAATCAATTTATGACATATTAAAAAACTAATTACTTTCACCCCAAATACTAATTAGTTATTTTAAATTTTTTAAATTTGCCACTATCCTAGGTTTTGCCCATTTGTCAGTAAGATTTTTTTACTCATTTAAAACCAAATAAAATGTAATATGCTCACTTATTCTTTTATATATTTTCATATGTACAGGTCAGAATAAGCATGTTGTTTGAATTTTTACATAACTTTAAGTGTTACACTGAATGACAATGGAACATTATTTCAACCAAATTTTGACATTTTATTCTTCAAAAACGTATTTGAAACCTTAAATGTAGACACTTTACTTGCATTTAATGTGCTTTCTATGGACATAAAATCCCTTTTGTAAATTTCTTTTGATGCGGACACCTTAACGTCTTTGACCCATACACTATTTAAATATTTTTAAATATTACTGTTCATCACCATCACTGATTAAATTATATTAATTTACTTATTATATTTTATGCCATTTTTGTGTAAAAAAAAATGATTGAAGAAAATATTTTCTAAAACATAGCGTTGCTTATGATTCATATCACTTCCAGTCCATTGTCTTACAAATGCTTACAAACAAACTATTTTAATTAGTCCAAACAAATGATTTATTCGCTAACCAGACATCATTATTGACCAGACCATCATTATTGGTGAATGAAGTGTTTGTCTTTGTTTTGAGGACTCCATACTCACAGGAAATGCTGTTAGCAGAATAGGTGGGTCGATTTCGTAGCTCTCTGCTGTTGCTAGTAGAATTTTGCCATCGGGATAGCCCACGGCAAAGGGTTTATCAACACTGTACCAGGCCAGACACTGAGGAGCTAAAAAACACAGTGATAGTCATTCACCACTGAATTAATGAACACACATTCAAACCGAGATCTTCAGCACATTTATGGACTAACCTTCTTTCCTGTAGCAGTGAGTGAGCTCTGTTCGCTCCACCCTCAAGTCGTCTGTGACCTCCAGCCAGCAGAGGGAGCCGTCCAGCCGGCCCACCAGCAGACTCTCAGGAGGGCTGACCTGACTGCAGGCTTCCTGACTGAGGAACGGAGTGGAGGTCTGAACCCACGAGAGTGCAGTGACCCAGGAGGACTGAGCCTCCATGTATGCCTGAGCACCTACAGGAAAGAAGACAAACACAAACGCTTTCAAAAGGTGCTTGTATAATACAACCACTTTGTCCAGGATATTTGAAGATGCACATGATATACTGCAGTTTTTATCCACCAAGACTTGTCTGGATTGTGAATGTTAGGCTATGAAATTATAAGTAAAGACAACAACCACTAACAAAGTTGATAAAATGAGTGAAAAACATCCCACAGAACACACTACCAAAGCATCTTACTGGCGACTTTTGCACAGACATGCATTACTCACATTTTTGTAAAAAAATAAATAAATTATTGTTTATGAATATGTTGATTTTAGTATTTTTAAATATTTTTTCCCCAACCACACTACATCCAGTGTTGTTGATGTTACCTAAAACTAAACCTGAAAGTACTAAAAATTATTTTGGTAATTAAAATAAAGCTAAAACAAAATTACATATTAGATGAAACATTTAATTTAAAAAAAATCAAATTAAGAATATTGTCTTGACAATAACAAGTACGTTTTAAGTACTACAATTACTACAACTATGAGATAAATATAATTAAAGCAAAATAGAAATATCTGAAAACTAACAAAAATGACAAAAGCACATAGCAAAATTACTAAAACTTAAAATAAAACTTGTAAATAAAAATAAAGGAGTAACACTTTACTTAAAGCCTTTATGTATAATGCATTAAAAAGGGTTATTAAAGTATATAATGCATTATAATTATTCATAATGTGCGTTGTAATGCATTATATCTTATCGTAAATAATTATAACCAAATTTAAAATGCATAGTGTAACAATGAATTGATAAGTGTTATAATGTATTAACTGTGGTTACAATTATTCATGAGATTGTACAATGCATTATAAAGTGCATTACAAAGGATAATTAATGCATGAAATCTACTTTTATAAAGGCATTATACTTAAAGGCTTTAAGTAAAGTGTTACCAATTCAAACATTTTCAAAATGTTAGTAAATGCTATAATAGTATATAATATAATGTATAAATCAATTGATAAATACTATTATAGTGTATACATAATACTAAATTATCACTGGTTACATCAGCAAACACATTGTTTCAGAAGCAAATGAAGTTATTTTGATGCAAGATTATGGTAACAAACTTTTTTTCTTCAGAATAACATGCACTGATGTACTGTGCACAATAAGTCCAGAAACAATTAATAAGTATATAGAGATCATTTACAATCAGTTAGAAATTACAGTATGCCCATTCGATTACATATAAGATTTGGCAGCAGTAGTGCTGTGTGTGTGTAAATGTGACAGCAGGATGCTGGTCTGACCATTGACGGTCCAGATGTTGATGAGTTTGCTCTGGAAGGCGGCCAATAGAGTTCCCCCTGCGCTCCACGATACGGCGGACAGCAGATGCGATCCCATTGAACCATCTGAGCTCTGAGCATCCTCACTGCAGAGACCACACACAAACACACAACTGTCAGCGCCCAAAGCATCCATTTCTGTCTCATTCAACAGAAAAATTATTTCCCAACAGACCTAGGAAACATTTGGAATTTCTCCCTTTCCTAATCAAAGAGACAAAAAACAGGGAGTCTCACCTGACGCTGCAGGTGTGTGTGTGCTGCAGTTCTGCTGTGTTCGGCGTTACGGCCCACAGTCGAACAGTCCCGTCCTGTGAGCCGGTGGCCAACAGACCTTGTTCTGAATTCCAGCTGCAGCTGCTCACCTACAAACACAGCAGCCAATCAGGAACAAGCCACGGCATAGAGAGAGAGAGAGACTTGCAAGACATCTAGCATTGTTTCTTTAAGTTTTTCTACTGTATCTACATTCTCTTTACCCTGTTCTGATGTCCTTCCAGCTTCTTGATGGGACACTTGTGCAGATCTCCGGCCATGTCGCTGTATGTCTGGGGTCTGGCGGTGTTGTCTTTCTCAGAGACCGCCAAGGCCTGGACCAGCTGTTGTGCCGCCCACTGTCGGTGTCTGCTGGTCAGCCTGGCCGACAGGGCACAGGCAGCGAGAGCATTAGCCAGCTCCAGCGGCCCGACCCGCACTCCAGCTTGAGAGAGAGGAGGACCCGAGGGTGGAGGGCTTCCACCTTCTGTCCAATCACATGCGGAGTTAATTAGGATAAGTTAATTCCAAATCATTAACTGCCATTTCAAAATGATATATGGGTACCTAAGAGAGTCACTAGAATTAAAATCAGCAGGGTTCCCAAAACTTTTGACCACTGTCCATGACTTTTCCATACTGTAAGTTTTCCAGCCAATCAAGATTACTGGTTATTTATTTAGACACTGCATTCTCAAGGAACAACTTCTAACCAATGACATATTTTAGAGACAAGCATAACTAGAAAATATTTTAATTAATTATAGACATTTCCTTATTATGATTTCCAGACCTGGTAATCATAGAGTAAAATTCTCTGAATCTTCAATAAACAGTTTAAACAAATAATAAAAATTTCCTGATACTTTTAGAATTTCCATGACAGTGAGATTTATTAAAAGTTAATAAAAACTAATAATGAATTAAATAACAAATAAAAAAAATAAAAAATCCTGATACTTACAGGTTTTCCATGACAGTGACAAAATATCAATATTTATTTATTTTTATAATCTTTTTATATTTTACTATAATTATTGTCATGTGACCATCATCTGACAAAGAACGACGAATTTGCAAATGTATTTTAAAATTATTGAAATATTAACAAAAAATGTAATAATAAAAATGTAAAATTACAATAAACAAATAAATAAAAATATCCTGATACTTGCAGGATTTCCATGACAGTGGGATTTATAAAAAGCTGATAATGAAAAGAAAAACTATAGTAAATATAATAATAAAATGTAAACACTTACATAATTTTAATAATTATTAAAATAAATTATTAGTATTAATATTTTATATTTTACTAAATATAAATATAAATATAAATAAAATATAAATATAAATAAAAATATCCTGATACTTGCAGGATTTCCATGACAGTGGGATTGATTAAGAACTGATAAAGAAAAAAAATGATAAAAAATAAATTATTAGTATTAATATTTTATATTAATATTAGTATTAATATTTTATATTTTACTATAAATATTTCATTTAAATATTATATTTTAAATATTAATAAATAAGCATTGTATTTATAAATATAACAAGTATTACATTTTATGTCATGTGACCATTAACTATAAAAAATAAAAAATAAAAAATTATGCAAACGTGTTGTACAATTTCTGAAATTTCAGGAGGTACTTCACTTAAATATTTCAGGTCCAAGGTTTGGAAATCGCTGGTCTAAACTAAACTAAAACATTTATGAAACATTTAAAATATATGTACTGTTTTGAGAAATTCTTTACCCTTTGATTCAGTGGAATCGCTTCTTTCCACATTATAACGGTATCGAACGCCTTTCTCCGTCAGGAGGGACACCAGACTCTGTGTGACCAGGAAGGTGGGCGGGGTCAGTTCTCTCGGCTCCTGTGGCGCCCCCTTGAGGGCAGAGCTTTGCCTCATCCTCAGCTGCGGATCGGTGATAGCGCTGATGTTCATCCCTGTAGCTGCTGCCATGAGATCCTGAGAGGAAGGACATGCAGGTGAGACAGCATGATTAGGCAGAAGGCAGGATGATTAAATGAGCTGAAAGCAGAGAATGATGAAGAGCATAGCAAGGATAATGAGGTGAGAAACATTAGCGGAGGAGACAAGAAAGACGGTTGGGAGGGAGGAGAGAGAGAGAGAGAGAGAGAGAGAACCTGAGTGCAGATGTCCACTAACTCTCTGTAGGCAGCAGGACTTTGGGACACTAAACTGCCGATAGCAGAGCTGAGGAAGGACAGGAAGGCGGTGCCTGTGCGATCGCTCATAGAGCCACGCCCCATTCCCTGCTGGTCCATGCCTGTGTGGACACGCCCCCCCGCTGCCAGACACATCAGCCGCACCAGGATACGGATGTCAGCCAGACCCAGAGCCTCCAGACCACTGGACTGATTACACACTGAACTACTGAAACATATGGTGACAGACACACAATGTGTATATTTATATTTGTACATCCGATATGGATTATAAAAAAAATAAAAAATTAAGGGCTTGCAGTCGATTGTAAAAAAAAGGGACGGGGTTTAAACTGGCTAAATGACTGGAGAAGTGCACCATATACACCACAAGAAAGAAGTCTGTTGTTTCAATAGAAATTAATTTGATTAAAGATTACGAGGACAAAAAATTAAACATATGCATAAATTAATCATTAACAATAAGATGCAATGACAGTTAATTTCCATTTCATGTTGACTTGAACTCCTCATTAATACAGTATTCATTAAAATTATTTATATTTGACAAAAACACAAAACAGACTTTTTCCCACAAAATTATTTACATCAAGTTTGATAAATGTTTAATATTCTGCTTTTTTAAAGTTTCTGAAAAACAAAAAAGAATCATTTGAACACAAAATCAGTCAGAAAATCAACAGATCATAACAGTAATACATTTTAGGGTTTCAAATACAAAATAACGGACTTTTTCCCAACAAAATTATTTAAATCAAATTTCAATATTCTATGCATTTTTTTTTTTCTTTCTTTTTCTTTTTTTTTAAGTTTTTGAACATTAAAATAATTTTAATACAAAATCAGTCAGGCAATCAACAGAAATTTTGGATTTGTGTGAAAAAAAAGTATTATTGTGGGGTAAAATCTGAAAAATTCTGTGGAATTAATTGAGATATATTAACTATATACCATCTAGTAACCATGTTAAACTATGCTGAGAACTACACTCTTACTGGAAGCAGAAAAAAATAATAAAACTAATGCAAAATTTTGATCTGTGAGTTTTTTTGTTTGTTTTTTTTGAGTTAAAGTCTTTGTGAACAAAACAACTGGAAAATGACAGTTATCACAGTATTCAGTATCAGATTCATTGTGAAGGAGATTACATAAAAGAATTTGACATTTTCAATATTCCCTGAATAGCTAGTGTGTGTTTTTTTTGGCTTCTGAGCTATATAAACCTATATATATATATATATATATTTATTTATTAATTATATATTATATATCTGTAAGGATTTTGCAAAATGGTTTTAAATAAAGTAAAATGTGTAAAAAGAATAAACAAATTAGTCAAATAAAATGAAATGGCCAAAGGAAGGGTAACACATTTGTGAGTAATGAGTGTGATGTTGATGGGTGAATAATGGAATTCTGCAAGGCTCAGATTCCGTGCAGGTCAGTCAGACATTGATGGATCCATCACAGTAGGACATGTCAGATTCGGTGAGAAGGAGTTCACAGAGCAGATGATATATTTACTGCTGAGTGAAGTCAGGTACGAGTGGTTGTTACCTGGTGGAGGTCTGTGAGAGAGCTCTCATCACCATACTGTAGGCCAACAGGATCTGAGCGGTGGAGGTGACTCTCCTTAGAGCCAACAGTCTTTCCTGGGGCTCCCGCAGGGATGCTGCCTGCTCCCCGAGACTCAGAGGAACCGAGGTGCTGACAACACCTACACACAGAAACAAACAACAACCTGCTGCATTTCACTGAGATTTTTGGAAAGCTCTTGTAGGAAACATGAAACAAAATAAGAACATTACTTTTGTAAAGCAGGTTGTTGTCTCCGCTGACCGAGCCACTAACGAGGGCTCCGAGTGGGTCGTGTTCAGTGAAGGGGACTGGGTCGGGCACGGGCTTCTTCTCACTCAGACCCAAAGGCCTCAGAAGAATCCCAAAGTCCTCCAAACCTGTAAGCCTGTCTGAATCCGAGTCTTCCTGGTTACCTAGATCCCATTCATCTAATACAGAGACATTACATCATTACACATTCATTTATTAAACTGGATAGTGTTAGTTATTTAAAAGTTTGCACAAATACCTTCTGATGTACCATCTAATTGACCAATCAGATCAGACGCCAAGCCTCTTGCCCTGAAAGAACAACATCTGGGTTGTTATATAGCAAAAAGTCAATGGCTACAGCATGTTCATCGGTTTTTCATCTTCACCTGTCCTGTTTGGAGCTCATAACCCCCAGGTTGGAGGCTAGGTACTTTTCCCTGCATGCAGTGCACAGGAGGTAGTATGGGCTGCCCGATCCGCATTCGCCTCCGAACCAGCCGTCCACGTAGGCTCCATTGCTGCGGTAACCACGGCGACCGGCGCTCTGACCGCAGCCCGGGTGGTGGCGCTTCATGTGGTTGTTGAACTGCAGGGTGAGTGTGTTACACAGCTCACACTCCACCATCTCATGAGGCTCTGGGTGCTCTTCTCTTCCCTGAGACAAAAAGAGAGATAGAGTGAGAGAGCAATCAAAAATACATTCATAAATATACAAATAATATTAAAAGAAAAACAGCCAGAATGATGAAACAAACAACAGTATTCACACAGAATGATTAAATAAATAAATCGGATAGAAAAACAAATGAGGTATGATAAAAATACAAAACAATAAATGATAGAAATAATGACAAAATGATAGACAACAATAACATGATAGAACAATAGACAGAAAGAATGAAAGAGAAATAGAACACATGAAAGAACGAGATAAAAACAGAAATGACAGAACGATAAAAAATAGAACGAATGAAAGAACAAAAGAAAAATAGAATGAATGACAGAACGAAATAAATATATAACGAAAGACAGAACAATAGAAAAATACAAGTAATGATAGACAAATAGAAAGAATGAGAGAAAAATAGAACTAATGACAGAACGATGGAAATATAGAACGAATGACAAAGATAAAAAATAGAATGAATGACAGAGCATTAGAAAAATAACAAATGACAGAACGATAAAGAAATAGAACGAATAACAGAACGATAAAAACGTAGAATGAATAAAAGAATATTAAAAACGTAGAACAAATGATAGCACGATAGAAAAATAGAATGAATGACAGAATGATTGAAATATAGAATGAATGACAACAATAGAAAAATAGAACGAATGACAGAATGCTAAAAAATAGAACGAATGAAAGAACGAGAGAAAAATAGAACGAATGAAAGAATGAGAAAAACAGAACAATAAAAAAAATAGAACGAATGAAAAACAAAAGAAAAACAGAACAAATGACAGAACAATAAAAAATAGAACTAATGACAGAACGATAGAAAAATAACAAATGACAGAACGATAAAGAAATAGAACGAATAACAGAACGATAAAAAAATAGAATGAATAAAAGAATATTAAAAACGTAGAACAAATGATAGCACGATAGAAAAATAGAATGAATGACAGAATGATTGAAATATAGAATGAATGACAACAATAGAAAAATAGAACGAATGACAGAATGCTAAAAAATAGAACGAATGAAAGAACGAGAGAAAAATAGAACGAATGAAAGAACGAGAAAAATAGAACGAATGAAAGAACGAGGGAAAAACAGAACGAATGAAAGAACGAGAGAAAAATAGAACAAATGACAGAACGATGACAACAGAATGATAAATAGAGGGAATGACAGAATGAAAGATACAACAACAGAACAAAAGGCAGATAGAACGACATGTAGACAGACAGAACAATAGATAGATACATAGAATGATAGAACGACAGCTAGAACGATAGACAGAACAATAGAAAGAATGATAGAACGGCAGACAGACAGATAGAACAAATGACAGAATTATAGGTAGAATGGTAGATAAAACGATAGATAGAAAAACAACAGATAAAATCAATAGACAGATAGCGTCTCCAGTACCTCTACCATCCACAGCGTGTCTCTCTCAGAGGTGATGAACTCTGGGGTGAGCAGCTCCTCATACGGTTCTTCCTGGTACGGATCATCCATGTAGCCCAGCTCGGAGTCGTCTTCAGCAGCAAACGGGTGCGTTTCGGCCCGCTCCCGCCACTCTGCCACTCCCACGTCCTGTCTGTACAGCGATGGGACAGGACTGGGCGACGGGGAGTCTGAAACAAACAAGTTAGGTGAGCAAACTCATCCTTGCTGAATTAAAAAGAAACTGTATTGTATGTGATTCTGACCTGCTCTCCTGAAGGACGTTCTCTGACTTACTCCGGACCGCTGCCTCCGTGCAGGTGGAGGTCTGTTCCTGGTGAGGTGAACATCTAAGAAGTTCTCTCTCTCCACCAAGTCCAAACCTGCCAACAGACTGGAAAACACATTGGGAGCACACACAATGAATAAATGGAAATGAGCCCATTCTGGGATACAATTTTCCTTGCTGTGTGTTCTGTTGTATATCATTTTTTAGGAAATTTAGTAGGTCATTGTGACCTTGCAAACATGAAATTTGTATACCGTGCTACTACACATACTGTATACTAGAAACAGAAAGAGTAGTATGCTAGTATGATATTCCGAAAGCAGACACTGAAACCAAGTGGCCGTCAAGGTTGGTTAGGACTCAAAACATGCGAGAGATGTAATGTATCACTTATCAGTGGTTAGGACGTAGTGTATGCATGAATTCACCTCTCGTTGGGTTCTCTGCTCTCCTGTAGGGTGAGAGGAGCTGGAGACTCAGGGCACTGGACCGTCTCTGGCCCTTCAGAGGAGGGCGTATCAGTGGCGCCCCCTGCATCCATTGCTGCGGTAACCACGGCGACCGGCGCTCTGACCGCAGCCCGGGTGGTGGCGCTTCATGTGGTTGTTGAACTGCAGGGTGAGTGTGTTACACAGCTCACACTCCACCATCTCATGAGGCTCTGGGTGCTCTTCTCTTCCCTGAGACAAAAAGAGAGATAGAGTGAGAGAGCAATCAAAAATACATTCATAAATATACAAATAATATTAAAAGAAAAACAGCCAGAATGATGAAACAAACAACAGTATTCACACAGAATGATTAAATAAATAAATCGGATAGAAAAACAAATGAGGTATGATAAAAATACAAAACAATAAATGATAGAAATAATGACAAAATGATAGACAACAATAACATGATAGAACAATAGACAGAAAGAATGAAAGAGAAATAGAACACATGAAAGAACGAGATAAAAACAGAAATGACAGAACGATAAAAAATAGAACGAATGAAAGAACAAAAGAAAAATAGAATGAATGACAGAACGAAATAAATATATAACGAAAGACAGAACAATAGAAAAATACAAGTAATGATAGACAAATAGAAAGAATGAGAGAAAAATAGAACTAATGACAGAACGATGGAAATATAGAACGAATGACAAAGATAAAAAATAGAATGAATGACAGAGCATTAGAAAAATAACAAATGACAGAACGATAAAGAAATAGAACGAATAACAGAACGATAAAAACGCAGAACAAATGAAAGAATGAGGAAAAATAGACCGAATGACAGAATGATAAAAAATAGAACAAATGAAAGAACGAGAGAAAAATAGAACGAATGACAGAATGAGAAAAAATAGAACAAATGAAAGAACGAGAGAAAAATAGAACGAATGAAAGAATGAGAAAAACAGAACAATAAAAAAAATAGAACGAATGAAAAACAAAAGAAAAACAGAACAAATGACAGAACAATAAAAAATAGAACTAATGACAGAACGATAGAAAAATAACAAATGACAGAACGATAAAGAAATAGAACGAATAACAGAACGATAAAAAAATAGAATGAATAAAAGAATATTAAAAACGTAGAACAAATGATAGCACGATAGAAAAATAGAATGAATGACAGAATGATTGAAATATAGAATGAATGACAACAATAGAAAAATAGAACGAATGACAGAATGCTAAAAAATAGAACGAATGAAAGAACGAGGGAAAAACAGAACGAATGAAAGAACGAGAGAAAAATAGAACAAATGACAGAACGATGACAACAGAATGATAAATAGAGGGAATGACAGAATGAAAGATACAACAACAGAACAAAAGGCAGATAGAACGACATGTAGACAGACAGAACAATAGATAGATACATAGAATGATAGAACGACAGCTAGAACGATAGACAGAACAATAGAAAGAATGATAGAACGGCAGACAGACAGATAGAACAAATGACAGAATTATAGGTAGAATGGTAGATAAAACGATAGATAGAAAAACAACAGATAAAATCAATAGACAGATAGCGTCTCCAGTACCTCTACCATCCACAGCGTGTCTCTCTCAGAGGTGATGAACTCTGGGGTGAGCAGCTCCTCATACGGTTCTTCCTGGTACGGATCATCCATGTAGCCCAGCTCGGAGTCGTCTTCAGCAGCAAACGGGTGCGTTTCGGCCCGCTCCGGCCACTCTGCCACTCCCACGTCCTGTCTGTACAGCGATGGGACAGGACTGGGCGACGGGGAGTCTGAAACAAACAAGTTAGGTGAGCAAACTCATCCTTGCTGAATTAAAAAGAAACTGTATTGTATGTGATTCTGACCTGCTCTCCTGAAGGACGTTCTCTGACTTACTCCGGACCGCTGCCTCCGTGCAGGTGGAGGTCTGTTCCTGGTGAGGTGAACATCTAAGAAGTTCTCTCTCTCCACCAAGTCCAAACCTGCCAACAGACTGGAAAACACATTGGGAGCACACACAATGAATAAATGGAAATGAGCCCATTCTGGGATACAATTTTCCTTGCTGTGTGTTCTGTTGTATATCATTTTTTAGGAAATTTAGTAGGTCATTGTGACCTTGCAAACATGAAATTTGTATACCGTGCTACTACACATACTGTATACTAGAAACAGAAAGAGTAGTATGCTAGTATGATATTCCGAAAGCAGACACTGAAACCAAGTGGCCGTCAAGGTTGGTTAGGACTCAAAACATGCGAGAGATGTAATGTATCACTTATCAGTGGTTAGGACGTAGTGTATGCATGAATTCACCTCTCGTTGGGTTCTCTGCTCTCCTGTAGGGTGAGAGGAGCTGGAGACTCAGGGCACTGGACCGTCTCTGGCCCTTCAGAGGAGGGCGTATCAGTGGCGCCCCCTGCAGATAAGCCCTCTCCTGTGATGGGATGTTCCAGCATCCAGCTCGCCAGCACCTCGATGGTGCGTGAGTCCACCTCTCCAGTGACCCCTGAGAGAGGTCACAAAGAGGTCAGGGACAACACTCAAAAAACATTTAGACACACTTGACTGAATTAAAGTTTCTTGTGATCTTAAAAACAATTTGGTCTGAAGTGTATGATAAATCCTTGAAACTTATCAAATATAAAGTGACTGTATGAATTACTTGTTTTCTACAAATCTATAATTTTATTTTAAAAACAAACAAAATGGAAGCAGACTTGTTGGACTAGATGGTGAAGGAAAACTTTAATACAGAACTGATTAAACTACAAATCTATGGAAGCTTGTTTCTACCATGGGATTAAAAAAAAAGAAAGTAATTGCAACTTTTTCTCTCACATTTCACATTTATATTTATACATCTTATTTATATATCTTTATATCTTACAATTCTGTCTTTTTTTTTCAGAATATAAGACAAAGTCAGAATTGCAGGTCAATTTCAGAATTGCAAGATGTAAAGATATAGTTGCAAGATATTCTGAAAAGTTGAAATTGTGGGATGTAAACTCGTAATTGCGAGTTATATATAAATATTGCGAAAATATATATTTTTTTACCTTTTTTATTTTGTGGCAGAGACGACAACAAAAAAAACAAACAATTGCAAGATGTAAACTCAGAAGTCTGAGAAAAAAAAATCAGAATTACGAGACCGAATTACACCGAACTGCGAGATGTAAACTCAAAATTGCAAGAAAAAAGAATTCTGAATTCAGTACTGATAGATAAAACAAAAGAATTGGCTTATTTTAAAAAGTTGGCTTTGCTAACATTATACAATTTTTGTATAACTATAATGTTTAAGAAAATGTAAATATGCAATAAAATGATTATTTTAAATATATACAAAATATTTATATAAATAATTTGAACTTTGTTGAACTGTGAACAGAGCATTCATAACAGAAAATAAGACGTCATGCGGTGCACCACTAACATTTCCCATGATTCAGCTGAGTGTTTTAGTGGGGAAAACAGTGAGGGGTGAATTGAAGCAGGATCTCATAGGGAAGTGTAATGAGTCTATCTACTGTAATAACAGCATCATCAGCAGTCAGCAGTAAATAATTAGAGACAAAATAAATAAATAAATACACTAATCAAAAGTACAAAACTCAACATAATTATCCAACTCTTCCATCATTCTTAATCCTTGAAAATTTCATAAAGCATTGTAACATGATTGTCCCCTTAAGCAGGTAAGAATGAGTCTGGCTAGATGTTGCAAGCACTCGCTGGTACCTGCTGCCTCCATGGCCCTGTAGATGTGTCTCATTGAGAAGCCCATTTCAAGCAAGCGCACTGGGACAAACATTTGGGGCTGTTCTGAAGGACAGAAATGAAAATATTCAGTGATGCATCAAAACGTATCTGGACTGGGCTGACTGATGCAGTCAGTCAGGTAAATATAATGTTTTTAAATTATTTATTTAGAAAATATCTGCATTTAAAAAATATAGCACAGTGCTAGAGAACTGGGGAACTTATTGGTCAACAAAATGACACATGGACTACAAATTCCATTACTTATTTATTTATTTATTATTTTTTTACACTTAATAAAGTTCAATATCTGAGGCCACTTTGAAAATCATTTACATGAAATAGTTTCATATAAAATGTAATATAAACAATTACAAATATTCAGAAAATGATAAATAAATTAGGGTAATATTTCTGCAGCAAACGGGTGCGTTTCGGCCCGCTCCGGCCACTCTGCCACTCCCACGTCCTGTCTGTACAGCGATGGGACAGGACTGGGCGACGGGGAGTCTGAAACAAACAAGTTAGGTGAGCAAACTCATCCTTGCTGAATTAAAAAGAAACTGTATTGTATGTGATTCTGACCTGCTCTCCTGAAGGACGTTCTCTGACTTACTCCGGACCGCTGCCTCCGTGCAGGTGGAGGTCTGTTCCTGGTGAGGTGAACATCTAAGAAGTTCTCTCTCTCCACCAAGTCCAAACCTGCCAACAGACTGGAAAACACATTGGGAGCACACACAATGAATAAATGGAAATGAGCCCATTCTGGGATACAATTTTCCTTGCTGTGTGTTCTGTTGTATATCATTTTTTAGGAAATTTAGTATCCCCTTAAGCAGGTAAGAATGAGTCTGGCTAGATGTTGCAAGCACTCGCTGGTACCTGCTGCCTCCATGGCCCTGTAGATGTGTCTCATTGAGAAGCCCATTTCAAGCAAGCGCACTGGGACAAACATTTGGGGCTGTTCTGAAGGACAGAAATGAAAATGTGATTCAGTGATGTGTCAGAATGTGTCTGGACTGGGCTGACTGATGCAGTCAGTCAGGTAAATATAATGTTTTTAAATTATTTATTTAGAAAATATCTGCATTTAAAAAATATAGCACAGTGCTAGAGAACTGGGGAACTTATTGGTCAACAAAATGACACATGGACTACAAATTCCATTACATACATACATACATACATACATGTATATATATATATGTATATATATATAT